AAATCTTTAACGATTGCGGATGAGGGGAGAGATGTAGTGCGTAAAGCTATTATCGAGGCACGGCAGAGGGCGCAGGAGAAAAGCGTCGAGGAAGCGAGGATGAGGCAAGTTGATATGGAGGCAAGGTATGGGACAATGAGTGGGGTCGCGAGCAATGTTGTGGGCATGCCGGAAATGGCTCATGAATACTCTGTGGGTTATGATGCGGACGGGGAAGAGGATCCGGACGCTATGGATATTGGGTGAGAGACTGCTAGCCAGCCGGCGAGGAGAAAGAAAGACTTCAAACCGGAGCTTGATATGGTAGCTGGCCCTCTGGCGCGGGACACGACTGCTTCAGTGGCGTGAGGAACGAAAGGAGCACCCAGCATACTTATATGCTCTGACACAGCGGTCTGGTACTTGTCCGCTGGTCTAATTGCCCAGAAATAAGAAAAAATCAACCATGTTCTACCCGATCCTACCACACCGAAATTGGTATTACCAGCGTCCGCTCTATACACCCCAGGAACATAACGCTGCCCTATACAGTACTCGCCATACGTGAATCAAATCACTGGTCCTCCTCATCAGTCATCACCCCTTCCGAGGCACATAAATCATTCTGTTGTAAAAAGGAAAGGAGCTACATATTGCTGAATTGCAGGATGCACCTTCGCGAGAAGCCTGTCTGTGCGGCTCCATCCAGAAATCGGATATATCTTGGTTCGGTTTCTGTGTAGTGGTTAGCTCGTCGGCGGCCTGGAGCCTGGAACAGTCTGGCGGCCATTCTTTGCTGGCTTGGCGTGAGGTACGATGAATAATGTACTACTGCCCGGCTGTGCCACGGGAATACCTGGGTAGATGCCATATTACTCGTGGTGGAGCACAGCGGGGAAGCGAGAGACTGGATTGCTGGGTTTGGATGGTACGACAAGGGTCGAAAAAATAAGTCGTTGCCGTTGGTGAGTGGCATTTATCGAGTAAAGCAGCGAGAAGTTGATCTCACTCGCTCTAGAGTCCTAGGACATAACTTACGGCACTCTCAAACACTTCTACGGCCTTATAGCACCAGGTCAGCTACGATAGCTGCCGCTTTATTCTTAACACAATGGAGAGGCCGAAACTCCGCGTCGGCATCCAGCTTTACTTGGACCCGGTGTCGTAATCCCGCAAGAACCTCCACCTTGATATTTCCTTCCATCCCTTTCCTTTCCACCCATTGGCAGGTTTGGGGTAGAATTCCACGACATCCAGCAAACTGGGATCATGAGCAATGACCGCAAAAATGTTGTCCTGCGCATCAAACCCCGTGAATTTGTCCAAGCTCTCCATGGCATCATTTGCATCATCGTGGACAGGACCATTGGGCTTCATGAAAGGCTCGGTATAGCTGTGGGTGGGGTGCATGGCTTCGAAAAGCGAACCCGGGCAAACAGAAGCGCTTTTGGCGTACGGTGGCTCCATCGGGTTGGGAGAAATCTCCTTAGGCAACGGAAGGTACTGCGTAGGTCTGAACTCCCCACACTGATGCGCGATGTCGCCTCCCATGATCAAAAACTCCGGCGGATCGGCGGACGTCCTCGCGAGACCACTAATATGTCCTGTAGCGTGCCCGGGAGAGTCAATGAGGTAGAAACTGCCATCTCCGTAAAAGTCGAAAGCGGAATAGCCGCCGATTTTGAGACCTTGGCCTTCGGTGGAGAAGTCGATTTCGCGGAGTGTGCGGCCATTGGACCAGGCTCCCTCGTCTACGGGACTGTCTTCGATAGTCGGATAGCCAGGGACGAAACGGGATTTAAATCCTGGTCCGACGATGAGGTCGGTGGAGGGGGGGAAGGTGGTGGGGTCGCCTACGTGGTCCTGGGAGGGTAATCAGCTGCATGGTATGGTTTGGGGTTGTTTGGGAGGGAGACGCACGAAATGGTAATGCGACCAAATGATGCCTCCGACTTTGGCTGGGTCGTCGCCATTTTCTGCCAGGATCTCGGAGACGTTCTTGTCGACTTTGACGGTGAAGCCTACCGCTTTCTGCTGCTCGGTCATGGATTTCGGGCCATTCTCCCAATCTTTTCGAACGCCCAAATCGAACAGTAAGTGGTCGTATTTGCTAGACTTGTCGGGATTGTTGTGTTTGATGATGAAGCTGTAGCAGGGCGCGGTGACGATGTCGTAGCCGGGCATGGTTGGGGTCATGAACATGGCGGCTGGGATCCCAACGACGAGGCCGGTGGTGTCGATGATCGAGACATCGACGGTGTGGGTGGAAGCGGGAATGTTGAGTTCGGGGGGCGGTGCTGCGGTGGTGGTAGACATTTTCGATGTTGGCTTTATGGTTCAGAAGCTGTGTCAAGTTTTTCGAATCCGATCTTGGGGATCGTCTTTCACTTTTCGGTTCAATCGTGAGCCCTTTGTAGTGCTATGACTTGGCAAAGGCCTCGTAGGATCTTCGTACAGCCGCAATGTCTAGCGGGATGCAACTATTCGTAAGCGGTTTCGCGTAGTGTTGTAGCACTTCACCCTTCCGGCACTTTCGATGGACCTGCCTTCCACGGAGCATCTAAACGCCCGTTTGGGGTTCGAGAGCGGTGTCTCGAACTCTGTTTATCTCGATGATGAGGTGGAGTTGAAGCTGCAAGCTTGATCCCACGTCATACTTATTTGATAGAAGCAGCTATGGGTAAGTAGGGCTTGCGATATATATATATGACCGCTAACAGCTGAACAGCGGTGTGGTTGATAGACTCAGAGCAAAATCGTAACGTCAATGCGTCGCAAGCGTTGTATTGAGACATTGTCGTTCATTAATGCATCTACTTGTACAGACTTTTTCGTCGTAACCAAAACATGCCGACTATGTTGTAACATCATACAATATTCTAGGCAAGATGCCCCCTCTTGCTGGCACAGGACTGAGCAGCATCTGCTGAGGTCGTGGTAGACGTATTCGTGATACTGTAGTTTGGTCAGCAAAGTCTAGCGAACAGGATCGACGAGCATACGTTATCATCTTGGTCTGTGTCTTCGTAGCCACAGCAATTGGCACATTGACCGTGATCGTGCGAGTCAAAGCAGAAGCAGTGACGGTGCTTTGTGTGCCGGCTGTCCCGACGGTTGCGACGCCAGATGTCTGCCATTCGTTAGCGCGAATTCACAACAGCACTCTGGTCCAGACTTACCACTGTCGAAGTCTGCGAGACGACAACGGTCACCGTCTGAGTAGTCGTCGCTCCAGTTTGGCTAGCCGTCGATGTAGCCACGTTCGTAGCAGTAACAGTGATGGTAGGCTCATCCGGAGCACGCTTGTGTAATCCCTTGGCGAGACGCTCCCTACGCTCCTCCACGAACGCCCGCTTGAGCTCTTCGCTAGGTGTCTGACCTTCCGCGATCGCTCGCTTGAACTTGGCTGAAGCACTGCCAGATAGCAGTCCAATGAGGCCGTTGACATTTTTGTCCACATCTCCTAGAGCACCGCCGATCACGCCAGCGGCGACGTTGTTGAGTTCTCCCAAGATTGTCGGAACGATCTGGGCAATCGGATCTCTGACGCGAGTGGTTTTGGGTACGACGCAAGACGCTGTTCAGATATTGTCAGCAAAGTTTCTGGCAAGACAACATGGCTGAGCTGAAACGGGATGAGATTCCTTACCTGGAACAGTCTTGACTGTAGAAGAAACCTGCACAGTCTGCACGACCTGCGTGATCGTGAACAGTCCCTTCGTGACCCTGGTGACGCTCGACGCAGGTGTAATTGTCGTCGGGCTAACAGACTGCCTGGTCGTGGTCGAAGACGGCACGGTAGTTGTGAAGACCGAAGTGCTCGTCTGGGTGATGTTCACGACCGGCGTGAGCTGATTGGTGATCGTGGCCGTTGTGGTGACCGTCGACGTCTGCTGAGGACCAACGGATAGCGAGAAGTCCCGCTCGTATGCGATGGGGTCGGCATCGCCATTATTTGAGATGATCAGAAGAGACCAGTCACCATTGTATAGCTTGTTCTTCGGCCAGTCTGCGCAGGTGATGAGCTGCGGCGTGTCGTCCGGCTGCAAGTGTGTATTGGAACACTGGCTCTGGTCGCCATTGGGATCCACCAGCACATTATTTGCTGTATCGTTGGCACATCCCTCGAACTCCTGCAGCGCCGTGAATGGGTCACTTGAAAGGCTGTTCTGAAAGTATGTGCCTCCTGTCTGGAAGTCGTCTCCGTAAGAATTGCAGGTCTGAGCAAGCGCTGAGCTTGCGAAGGTAAGCAGTGCACTAGTAATGAAAAACATATTAGGAAAAGCGAGGGTGTGTGAGAAGAAGCAGGAAATACAGACAGACTTCGACTTTCATGTATACTCGCCTTGTGTGAGGTCCCAACGGTCGCCACATCGGACTACGAAAGCATCGTCCCCGATCTGTGACGAGTTTGAGACTGAGCCAGAAGAGTGTCGATGCTTTTGCGGGCTGTACAGATCTTCGGGTGGACGAAGTCTATGCCAACCAGATGTCTTCTGCCGTACGGCCGGCTTATATGTCGGCCAGTAACTGTCGCGTGGCCAGCTGGAGATACACGCGAGAGCCGTGGGAAGATCTGTGGTACTGTGACGACGCCGGATATAGGCCATCGTGCACGTTTCAGATACTGCTTCGTGATGCTGTATAGAGTTTGGTAGGGCGCCGAGGACGTTCGAAGTTTGTGTCAGGGTTCCGGCATGTCATCGAGGCAGCACATCGGCGGGCTTGGTGCTCATGGGTCGTGAAAAAGTGTGGTTGTTGTGAACATGTTGGGCGAGTGTCGAGCAATCTGAGCCATGCCAATGCAAATGGTGTGTACATGTAACCTTTCGCATAACGCCATCATGGTCCAGTACAGATGTAGTCACTCTGCTGGAGTACATAGTGCACACCAGGAAGATAATGTAAGCGCCTGGGCATGATTTTGAGGCAAAGTGACTAAAAGAGCCAATGGCTGAGTACCTATGGCAAAAAATGAAGACAGCAGAGTGGAAAAAGATGGGTTCACGGATTCCAAGTTGCTCCCTCGGGTGGGCTCGAACCACCAGCCTCCAGATGTGCTTAGGCAGTGCCTATAACAGTCTAACGCGCTAGCCAATTGCGCCACGAGGGAGAAGGTTGATTGCTCAATGCTCAACTCCCTTTGATGAGTGGTGCAAGCAGTGCTCCCGAATAAGTCCACACCAAATTTGGCCCGAAGTTTTTCAGCTCTTCTCTCCTCGCCCCACACTCTCGAGAAGTCCCGCATTTCCTACGCTGGATTCATTGCGATGGCATTGCGAACGTGTCATATAACAGCCCAGAGAGATAGATCAAGACCCTACGATCAAATTCCAATTGTTCTTGTCCCTTCACGATGTGGTTCGACCGACTTCCTGCAGTAAGAAAGCTGAGTGTTCTCCTTTGATCGGGACGGGTGAGGCTTGGCGCTGGACGTCGTCTCAACTTTGCGTATCCTCATCCACTGCTGAGCGACGGCACCAATATGATACTGCGTTGTAGCACCTCCACACAATTCCGAAAGCCACCTCTCTTGAGTATACCTACCGTAGCAACGCAGATAGCCATGGTAGGCCCCTCGATCAATGACTTTGACACGGGAAAGCTGCTTCTCGCATTTTGAAGGTGGTACTTCGCTTCCAAGGCAAGCGAGATCACTGCAGTGGTTTATCGCAGCAAGACAACTTGAAGATTTTGCCGTATCTGCTGGCTAAGCTGGAGACTGAGAAACGCTGGTATACAAGCAATGGCGCTCCACAATGCCGCCCCAGCAAGATCCTTCAGATGATACTCATGTGCGTCTGCAACGAGAAGGGTCGGGGCGCAGATCCAGAATACACGACGGATCCAGATGAAGAACGCGATCCAAGATCGATGGTTGCAAGATGCAGGCGGGCTACACGAGAATGTTTAGTACTGCGGACTGGCGAGGATGGGCAAGAAGCCGCCGACAGCTCATGATAATCGCACTTCCGGTGTGTCGTGCGCTGTCCTCCACAAAACGAAGCATCCACTCATTAGATCGTTCGTCTTCATTACGATGTTGTCGAAAGGAGTGTCATGCAAGAAATACGAGATAGGTTTAGACACATGAGGTCGGATCAAGGTTCTTGGCCAATGACTGCCAGTCAGGGCTTGTCGGCATTGATACTGACGTACCGGACTCAGAAGCGCAAAATAACTGTAGGACGAGCTGTAGGCTGACTTGCGATAGCGAGGAGAGGCGGATTTCAACAAAAGAATTCTCGAAAATCAAAACTGCCGCCCCCAACTATTCGGCCGCATTGATTGGGACAATCAAGTGCATCATGTCAACAAAAATTGAGGATTGCTCCCCGGGAAAGGCTCGAACTTTCAGCCTCCAGATGGTCATGGGTTGTATAACTGGAGTGAAGTCAGTACGTTACTGGAACGGGCGATAGGAGCAACAAACCAGTCTGACGCGCTAGCCAATTGCGCCACCGGGGACTTGAAACAGTAGCAATACTGCTGTCGATGACGTCGTTGAATCTGTTAAACACATATTATGTTGCTAGAGTTTTGCCGAAGTTTTACAGCTGACCTGGCCCATTCTCCGATCCGTATCATCACAACAATACAATACAACTTGACGTTGTATACCTCTACTCTAGTAACGAGTCCTCTTTGATCTGCGGAGCTGATCAGCGCAGAAGACCATGTGTAAGCGCTTCAGCCACTGCGTCGTCCTGGGGATGTTGCTGTTGCCTCTCGAAACTGAGGGCACATACACCGCCTCGCGGGGGGATGACATTTAATATAACGAGCAGAGTGATGACGCTGACGCCCTTGCTCTCGTCGTTGTGACGGGCATTGGAGGTGTGGTAGCCCTAGCGAGCACCGCTACAACAAAGCTTGGACCCGGGAAAGCGATAGCAGCATCATGATCATACTCCGCATCGCGCAGAGTCAGCCATGTAGGCCTAAGCTATAGGGGCTGGGTGGGCGTCTAGAAGCTAACTGACCACGGGCACGAGCTGGGGAGGGAGGGGAGGGAGGGAGGGCGGTGATAGGGATGAGGGGTCGGAGATACGGGAGGTGGAGCCTAGCCGTTGGGTCCGGGTTGAGGTAGAGGACGAGACAGTGAGTGAAGACTGGGTGGACCCGGGAGAAGGGCCACACGCAAAGATTGCTCGCTTGGAGGCTGAGCTCGCTGAATTACGCAGAGCTGCTCAGTAAAAGTACGACATATGCGAGATGCTGCGTGGCATGCTCGCTCGCTACGATAGAAAGGCGAAATTCCAATCCATTACAACTGTCACGGCCACCAACGCATCCTCTTGTAGCTTTCTATCACAGCCTGTACTTCCTCTTTCGTTATTCGTTCGTGTCGAAGTCTATTAGAGCAATCAGCATCAATCTTACATGCATCCCATAACAACACAATGAAGACTCACCTAAAACCCACAACACTCTCAAACCTGCTCCCGTCTATACTCAGATCGGCGTCCCGTAACAACTCCTTCTCCATGAACGGGCTCAAGGGTCCGCCATTCTCCCTAATACCCGCATCTTCCTGCAGATCAGCCCAATCGTCCAGCGTATCGTCATTCACTTCATCTACCACATGGTCCAAATTAAGCCTTGCAAAAGTGTTCACCAATGTATTCTGAAAGCCCGTCTCAATGCCAAATATCTGCTTGATGATCGACGCCATCGTACCTTGCGAAGTGGCGCCCTTGTCGACGACATTGAACACGATCTTTTCATTTGGTGCGTTTGGTATTCGGTCGTTTCTCGCTCGCCAATCTGCAGCCATCCATGCCGCAATAGCCGCATCCTCCACGTGCAAAGTGTTCGTCCGCAGATCGCTACCCCAAAGCCATTTCATCGTCTCCTTCGGCTCTCGACTCTGATACACCCTAGCCAGAGCAAGCAATGTACCCAACCACCGCCCTGCATACTGTCCATATACTAGTGGCAGTCTCAGCACGCATAGCTTCAATCCCGGTATTTTTGCCAGACCCTCCTCTGCCGCAAGCTTCCACTTCGCCTGCTTTGTGTGTGGCTTGCTTGTCTTTTCGCCCTCCTTCTGCGGTGTTCTACTCGGGTTGTACACTTGCCCTGTACTTATTTCCACAAACGCCTTTACACCCCTCCTCACGGCCTCGGTGCCAACGGTCAGACTTAGCTGATAGCTCCGCACCTTGTACACCTCGTCATCCTGCGAGAAGCGGGTCTCTCCTCCACAGTTGAAGACATAGTCGAACTCCCGCTTGCTTCCGTCTGGTCCTGGAGGAAGGTCGAAAATTCTAGCTTGTGATTGTTCCCGTGATGCATCTGCTTGCAAGAAATTCTGGATCGAGCATGCCTCTTGGTGTTCCGGCGCCAGCGAGGCAAGCTGCGGTAATTGCTTGTCTACCAGACGGAGGGTCGAGGCGAGATTGTTCGAATGTATGTGGAAGGCCAGAAAGCGGCCGATGTATCCTACACAAGCCGTTCAGTTCGCGAACTCAACACCATATCCGTAACGCTCTACATCCATGCCGCATACATGATGATGTGAGACTCACCAAGTCCGCCGATAATCAAAACAGCCGGCTTCGCTGATGTCGCGGGGTCTGCGGGGACAGAGTCGCTCATCGCAACGTTTCTAGGGTCCTAGTGGTGAGCGAACGGCATGCAATAATAATGGAGTTAATACATGAATGACGGTAGGGACAGACTGGGAATGTTTGGTGCTTCACCACGGAAGGAGTCGCGAGGACCATGACTATCGGCTTGCATACAGTCCGCCTGCCCGCATGCAATTGCGAAATGAGGTCAGCTGCAAGAGCAGTCCAGGCGTGCTGCAGGTCCCCGATAGCGCTTCGAAGGCCCACCGTGGAGCACGGAAAGCTTCTAGGCAAAAGTCGTTGCCCAAACCAAGGTCCGGCGAGTGCAAGCTTGACATCCAGCGAAGCCATGGACTGTAACGATCCCGAAAACTGCGGTGGCTTACAATACTCGTTCGGCCGTCATGACTGCCCAAACTTGAGGAACTGCTCCGGGAAGCTCGACATCGTCGGCGTTGACTTTAATTCTCGCATTCTTCGCAGCTAGTGTTGTCATTTTGAGGTTGCCGATCCGGCACGGTGCGAGTCGTGCTTCCTCCCGGAGCTTCTGTGGGGCGCCTGGAAGTTTCTCCTGCAGTATACATGCGTTGGGCGTGTGGGATGCATGATGTACATTGCGTAGCCTGCAGCAGAGAGATTGCTGGAGATGAGAGAGCGCTTATAGATGGTATCGCGGAAGAATACAATGGTTGACCGCCGATCGTCCAGCCTTGAAACCTGTCGAGCCAATTAACCAGCGAACACAAGTTGTTATTATCAGTGAACTACTAGAAGCGCCACCAGCTCGCGTGCTTGCATGGAATGTTGAGGCGGTTCGGTAGTTCAATGTACATGATGTACTCTTGTACCTATGTGCATCAGCAAGTGTACAGACCATACTATGCTCATCTGCCTGCAGAAGCGGCGGGTATTTGCATCTTCGCCTTGCAGGACATGTCAATGCACTCCTGCTCAGACAAGTGCGTCCAAACCAAAAGCAGATTCGCTTATCCTCTGGCGCTTAGTCTTCCGGGACCGTTGGCTCGATTGCGTTGTGGCAGAGAAGGCAGTGCACATTCTCCGTACGCTTCTCGCCGTCACCATTCGTGATCACGATCTTGGTCTCCTTTGATGGAGTGTCATCGGGCCACCTCTCGACGAAGAGTTCGGCCGTATAGGCGTCTTTCTGAGCTATGGCGATAGCCGGAAGAGTCGGGCTGAGGGTAATGGGATTCGATTTCTTGGCCTTGGTTGCTCTGCCTTTCTTCGTCGATTCCTGCGCTGCACGCTGGACCGCGTCGTTGACAATACATCTGACATGCATCCATTTCCTGCATTCCGGGGAGTCGCATTGTAGGATCGACACGTCCGGATTTTGTGGCTGCTGACACTGGCATATGAGGCGGAGTTTCTGCGAAGATTAGTCTCGACATTCCACGCTTTCTGGTCTCTCGACTTACGGAGAGCTCTCTAGTCTTCGCAACGTCGAGAGTCTGACGCCAGAAATGCTCCTGAATGCCGGGCATTTGAACTTCATCGTCGGTCTCATCCCAGGCATAGAGGTCAAGTCGACCATTGACAGTCTGCGAATACAGTCAGTGTTCGGACTACCAAGTCGACCATCGAAGTGACCTACCATCGCGTCGATGATGTCCATATGGTTGGTGGCAATGAGCTCAAGCTTGCCATGGTGTGGCTGCCGGCCCTCGTCAAGATCTTCTGGTCTGTTCATCCACGCGATTCGAACGTAGACGTGCTCCGCATCCAACGCACGCACTTCGAGAACCTTCGCTTTCCACTGCGCAGCGAAGTTGACTCTGGGATCCTCGTGCATATCATTCTTAACCATAATACACTCCCCAACAGCAATGCTTTCGCCGCCGACTGCAGAACGTCAGCTTCCATCAGAGTTGCCGCCGTTGGAGCCACATACCCGTGAACTTCTTATACCTCTTAAGACTTTCCCAATTTTGTGAAGGTTTGACCTCATATTGCACACTGAGCCGCTCGTGGAACAACTCGGTCTCTTCCCGCAATGATGGGCTCTCAGCACCTCTCTTCCGCTTGCGGCTCTGTGGCGCTATAGTAATCGAGAAGGGTTTGTCCGTTCTCTCCAGGAACTCCTTCACATTCGCGCGGTCGGCTGCCGTCAGTTCTGGCGCAGGTTGTGGAGACTTCACTTGCGGTGGAGGGCTTTGTGTGGGTGTTGCGTACGGCTGCGGGTCTGCTGCCGCCGGACCCGTGTGTTTGGTTCTCATCTTGACGAAGTCGCGTGGTGACCCGAAGGTGTCGAGTGATTGATGTTCACGAAGGCTGCAATCGCTCGAAACGCGTGCGCTTAGGCAGCCGTGCCGTGCCGTGCCTCACTTGAAGCTCGCCTTCTGGTGATCGTCAGTTGCAGATGCGCTCGAACGCGGTATCGAGGTATGCGCGTGATCAGGCCGTGGATACAAGACAAATGCAATGTATTGAACATTAAAGTCGCGTCACTCGACGCGTTTCAAACGTCTCGGGAAGCCGGACGAAAACCTTCCGAGTCGCAATCGGCGACGACAACGAGGTGCTGTAGCGGTCTCCTAGGCGAGGACAAGTGAACGGTTATGCGAGGATCATGAGCGTTGTGACACTGGACTGAACGAAGTTCACATGTCAAGAGAGCTAAGGTAATGTAGCTGACCACGAGGCAGCCGTTTCCCCATGTGGCAGGCACGTTAGCGGCATTGTAGCTCGTGCGACCACCGCCGCCGACAGCTGTCACCATTGCACGATTGGCTTGTTCCGCTGCGTGCACCGCCCAACCGTCAAAAGCGCATAGGAGTGCCGAGAGTGCCGCGCGCGCGTCGCGTATGTGCACCAAAGACCGGTACGCCGCGGACCAAGTTTACAACGTCTCGCAGCCACCAAGTCCCTGCTTTT